ATTGAATTTAAACTGCTTAATTCCAAAAATATCGAACGAGAATGTACTGCAAAATGGGCCGAAAGCAATTTGCACCAGCATCTAAGGTTAACCAATGTTTGGCCTTTCTAGTATCTGCTACCAGATTCCGAAAATTCCAAAATTCTCATGAATTTGGCAAAGAGCAGTACAAAAACTACAGTGATAAGGTACATCTTTTGGTCAAAAGTCAAAACCCTCTCTGTATTCATTTGTCTTGAGAGCCGAAGACGCTCGCGAGTAACCTGCAAATGCCAAAAGCAGTCACTGACTGGCAATGCTGGCCACGAGATTTTACGAGAAGGGAAGGTAACTACTGCCTATTTGGATAGCCCCTGACCAGCGGTAATTGGAAAAACGGAGCTCATTATGGAATACTTGGCATAGCTATGCTTCGACTATCAATAATGTCGAGAGCTCTACACCGATATTCCCGGAGGGAGAGGGACGGGGGACGGGAGGGGGGGATGTTCATAATCGTGTAATCCTTTTAAGCTACTCTACGATCATGAAATTTCTTTGTTATGCATCAAATTCATAGGGTCATCCTCCAGCCATGCAGCTGACAACTTTTCCATTTGCCTTGACCAGTGCGTGGTTGTCTGCTGGTCATTCCGCTGGCGACCCTGATTTTCTTTTCGCTTTTTGAAGGGCTTACCAATTCAGCGGTTCCTTGGGCAAAAGCACCCGAAAAGGCCTAAAAATTTTCCAGTAAAGAGCTGAGAACGAACTCGAATGAACTGAGCATTTTGGAAACGTTGAGAAGCGCCTTCAAGGCTCTGGTCAATTGTTCACCATGTAAGCGGTACCAGTCTCGAGTAAGCAGACCCACGACAAAACTTCCAATACCGACGATTGCCTGTGCTGTTGTACTCACGTTCCGAACTGAATGCTGCGCCAGACAGTTCAGCAACACACTGAAACACAAATAATCAGTGATAGGCTCTGGGAATGGGTACGGTTCCGATCGGACGAGTACCACTCAAATGGGCGAGTGGTACTAGCATGAACACTTATGAAATGAGGAAAGATTAGCATGGCCATCGACTACACCACCGGCGAAAGCTCGAAATATGATTCGATAGTGGACTTGCAGTTGTTTCAAGCAAGTGACCATTCGCTGGCAAGACTGACTTCCTCTTCCGAAGACTGTTGGAAGAAGACAAGCCAAATGCAGCTTGATTTGCTAGACAGGATCAATTTAGCGCTGAAACGAATCAACGAAGTGCGTGCAAGAAC